ATCGTAGCAGGACTCGATATGGATCACATAGTGGAAATGTTAATAATCTCTTAGGATTCTTTAGACATTTCCATTCTCTCACGAACCCTGTAGAAAACCCTACCCACTTTAGTGCATAACAGAAGAGTTGATTCCGACCCCGAAGAAGTTCATTGAGAAGATTTCCTGTTTGGACATAAATGAACTGGGCCGAGACTATTAAGTGCACCAAGTGCCCATATTCTTATAGGGACATCGGTGAGGAATTCGCCTAAACTTCGGAGATTCCCAGTCATCCTTCATGAAGTGATGACACCTAGAGTTGTAATCAGAAGGAAGGCGGAGTAGAAATTCAATATGTTCATACGAGAAGAGAACCCTAGGAAACTACCCAAAGGAAACCAACGCCGATTCCAGTCAAAGATACGAGGCAGACCGAGGGAGCCAGTACGTGGAACCCCGAGAAGTGTCTTTTCCTCGTGTTCATCACGCTAATACACCTATAAAATAATACAATTAAGTGAGTTAGTGGTTACACTGCTCACGCTACGTGTTAGGTAAATCGCCTTGTTCTCGTTGCCAGTAATGCGCTTAGAGCGGATCCCCACACCTCTGTGAGGTTGTTTAGCCATAAGCCCTCATGAGCCTCTCTTTCCGCAGCTTCGTTCCGAACTGTTCTCAAATCTCTCCAGGCCGGAGAGTGAAACCTTTCTCAGTATAAAGGTAACTTAGTAGGAACGACTCGCATCTTATGGCCTTTTTCTGATATTCAAACACCCACTTCGATTACCAGGACTACATCATAGGGATGTAGGTCGACACTCAGACAACCAATACCCGAGGCACGGGAAAAAATATTATGCCTAATACGTTCAGGACAGAAATGTCCAGGGTTAACTATCGTCTTTCATTACCTTATATTCCTTTCCGTGTAGGAAAAAAAACCATGCCACCGAAGAAGCGTAACCAATCCACAAGAAAGAAACCCACTCTCTTATTCGATGAAGCTACGTTCCAAGCTGCAGTCTCCGCAGCCGTAGCAACTGTCATGGCTCACCTAAATGCTAACAACGCCAATGTTAGCAAGGTGCCCGTCGGGAATTCCAATCCTGACAATGGACAGCATCAACCCACACTTCCATACTCAGCCACCCAAGAACCTCAACCGACTAAAGAGAAAACTCAAGTTTGAGGAAGGAAGTACCTCAGCTCAAGGACCTTCAGAAGGATAACGGGCTGAGGCAGCCTATACTCCTGTCAACCCTTCCCTCCCGATCTCAAGGAGACCGTACCTAGGAGACCTCCCCCATTGCAGCAAGTGCAGCTACCATCATCATGGTGCCTGCCGGGAACTCTATTGTGCTAGGTGCAACATGAAGGGGCATACTACTCGTGTATGCAGAACTCCGGTGGAACGTATTGCATCAATCGCCAATGCGGTGGCCACTCAGGTTTGCCGCCTATGTGGCGAGTTTGGACACTTCAAGAAGGACTGCCCAACCGAAGGAAAAGACAAAGACACAGAAGGGGCCTGACACTACTGCTTAGGGAGAAACGTCAAGGAACTCGATAGATTTTTGGTACGTCTCTCGATCTCGGATAACTAAGCTAAGAACAATAAAAGACTAATTCAAATGCAAATTCTTTCCAGTAAGGCGAAAGTCGCAGCACTTTTATAAAATTTAAAATTCATTAGGTAAAACTATAGTGGCTAAACATATACGTTACGGCCATGTCTATTTAAGATGGACGACTAGAGTGAGCGAATGCCGCCTCATTTCCTGTTCTTCGTTTGGTTGTGGATTTAGGGCGGGGTCGCTCAGTCAACAGTCCTCCCCACCTTAAATATACATGACTAGTATATGTGAGGCGATTATAGAAATGCCTCGTGAGAATCCATTTATGAAAAGATACTCTATTCGGAAACACTTAGAACTCTCTAGAGTTCCGCGTTGACTCTATCGGTCCAAGTATCCGCGGTAGTGATACATAGGACAGAACCGAGACGCCTAGAACTAGTGTGCCTGTTCGGCACATGACTCTATCGATCTTCACTTTACATCATGTCGGAGTGTCCCAACTTCGACGAATCTATTGATCATGGTTTGACTTCGTGCAACCGTGTGTACATTCTTAGTGTTGTGTAAAAAGAGCTTTCTCCATAGCCATATCGGCAAATAAAGGTTCTTTCGAACCTGAACATAACACAAATAAACAAAATTAACGCGATCCGTCAATAGTTCCTCTTATCTTAGACCTTCCAAGGTACCCAAGGGAGGGTACCACGCGCCATCGACCGACCCCTCGTATTCAGATGAACACCGAAGCGAAGGACATTGCAAAGACTCTAGAAGATGACAATTGACCGAAGCATACTCCGTAGATTCCCCCGAGAGACCCTTCGCACCTAGCACATTAGGTTCGTGAACCTAGAGAACAGAACTCATGAGACTGACCACTATAAATAGGTATATGCATAAAGGTGACATATAATCGAGATCAAAAAGATTTAAGGTGTGTGTTTCCTCCCTATTCCCTGTTCCTCGTTGGTTGTGGGTTTGGGGTGGAGTCGCACAGCTGAACGTCCTGCCGACCTCAATCGTATACTGCTCGCATACACCCAATATTTGTGGTTAGACTAAGCATGAGCTCTACCACGAACCACTTCGCAAAACACTTTCACCCTAATCCATAAAATAGGAGTCGGAGTCAAGAGAATCACTACGGGTTGAACTATTAAAGAGCCGGGTGAGAAGACTCTATACTCACTAGATTCGACCTAGACCAAGAAAACCGAGAACCTTCGGAAGAGTAGTTGCAGTATATGCCCGCACTACTCAGGCACTTCGTCCACTTGTTACAGACAGGTAGTGCCTACCATCCCCCACCCTATTGCATGGAGGAAATCGTCGTCGCCCTGTAGACGATAGACTTCATCCTCCGAAGTGAACACTAGAATACCGAGGACCACGGCATAACCTTCGTAGCCAAGAGTAATCGGTCAAGTGTGAAAGTAGCTGCGTTAGATCTCATGACCCGGATCCCGAAGAGATCATAGGCTTGACACCAGCCCTGGTGTTAGTTGAAGGGTCATGCATGAACATACACTTTCCACGCTAGAATAAACCGAAGTCTTAGAGATTCATTGGACTATTAGGTGTTCCAACGAATACTATCTCATGCACAGATAGTAGAACCACTCTCGAGATAGTCCAACACTCGTCTAGTGAAACCCTATCCCTCCGACCCTCAGGGTTTCCGTATCTCAAGATTCTTAAGTGCAGGCCCACTTTGCACGAGCTTGAGATAGACACTCTACAGCAACCCGATAACCATAGTCACGCAACCCGCTCGATGATCTAGAAAGTCTCTATCAGCCCGTTGACAAGGAACGTGAGACAAAAGACCACTCGAGCATTCTAAGAACCAACCTGAAGGACCACACACACATCCAGTACAGGTGGGAGCGTTAGGAACTTCAAAATAGCGATCACTCCAGTGATGATCTTTCCATAGAAGTACACTATGTTCTTAGTACTGAAAAGCTCTATCTTTCCGAGAGTTTAGGACCATATGGGGATTCTCATGGAGATTTGGTCCAACCCTATTCAGACCGCTACTACTTTCAGATATACCACAAGACTCACACTCGATCGATCCACTTCATAGTCTTGATATGTGATTACCCGACATCACTCTTCGTACCCCACTCATCTTGATAGAATCCATTGAGAACCCTAACCTCGTAGATACACCAGGCGGAACCTACTAGCTACTCGAAACGGAGTCTGCATCCCGTGCGTGAAGGTCTGTTGGAATGGCAAACACGGACTAGAGCTCACCTGGTATGCGAGGACAACCGTATAGGGAGTATTTCCTTACCTCTGCTTGGCCATTCATACCTACTTCCTTGCCTAGACCTGAATTTCGGGACGAAATTTCCCCTCTAACGGGGGGATGATGTGACAACCCAAGTGTTCCCATTACATTTTCCCCGTTACCGTTAACGGAATATTCCACTGTATAAAAGTTCCGTTAGTTAGAGGGCGTCAATTCAATAAACATCCCATTTATTTATAGTGTATATGACGATAAGT